CTTTGCACCTTTCTTCATTGGCTGAGGCTGTTTCTGCATTCCCCGATCACTTCCAACAAACTCTCGCATCACAGCTTGCATCGCATCATCGCCAAACATCACTATGCGGTCTGTTCAAATCTGCCTAGCAGGGCCAATTCGCTACTGGCTTGGAGGCCGCTGCTATTCGGTTGGAGGCCATCTTATTCGGATCTCCAAACTCATGGCTCGGCTCCGGGACCTGTAAAGCTGCTTAGGGTTGATGAACAAAATCCTTGGGGTATCTCCATGGGTAGAGCCCAGCCACCGTTTGCTGAGGTCAGGCAAGTGGCCGGAATGCCTGCTTGTCAAACTGGGCATTGGCTCTGAAAACATAGACGGTATATAGACCCATTCAGTAAGTGTCTCCCTCTTTGCCACTGCCGGAAGTTTGCCACTCCCAATACCACCGGCTTGACGAAGGAGCATCTGGTTCAATCATTCAACGGTCCCAAGCCAACTTGTTTTCTGTATTGAGAGCCAAAGGATTCAAAGAACCCGCAATCACACCCAACCAGTACACGACTCACTAACATGGACACGGCCCATTTTCCCTGGAAGACGGCTTTCCTCTACAAAAAGTGGATCTTCTACTTCAATGTTACTGGGTCTTCTAGTGTACCAGCACTGGCTGTGGTTCCCCCACGCGCCTCCACGTGGCGCCGCCGGTACAAGGGCGACGCCATGCGCGTGCGCGCGTCTTGCTGCTGCGCCGGATCGCAGCAAGCGCAGCCGTTGAAGATCCGGAAGCCGCGCTTGGGCGGCCGGGTCACACGGAGCTCCTGTGGACGAAGAATTGGATGGATGGATTCTTGGAATTGGAGTTAGTCGAAAAATAAAAGTACATGACATCCATGTGAGAAAAGGAAGTTGTGACAGCTGTCTACACCAAGAAACAAGGAGAATGGTCATGTCAGTCATGTCACACTCCAGCATCCTGCTAACTGCGAACTGCAACTTCAGAACCTCCAAGTATGGCGGATATAGTTCTCTTTTATCTGACCATTGAACGCACGGATTTAAACAATAAAACAAATAAGTGCACACCCGTTATTTAAAACAAAAAACACGAGGTGAACCTGGATTTGCCATTCTCTAACTAGAACAGTTGGTGCATACACTTTGGTCTGGTAAATGGTGTTGGCCATGTAAAAATGCTGTCGAGAAAATGCTCTAGACAAGCAAGAAATCAAGACCTTGTCTTCATGATCTTGTGCCTCTCTAGGGAATGGTCTTGTACGGGTTCCATTGTGAGTTAAATCCCGCAAGTATAAACCAACATATGCATTAATGGCGCCACACATAGTGATTGTTGAACCAGATTGATGGCTAGCAAAATATGAAAATGACAATTTCTGAGATATTTTCAGTGCCCAAACAATTAAGGAATAAACATCAAGCAACCAATCTCTAGAGAGCAAAATATTGTACAATCTAACATCTTGTTTGACATACACCATGACACAGCAAGCTTTCCTCATTTTTTGTCAACTCAATTGTGCACTCGATTTTTCAGGACAATCATTGTTCTGGACAACATGGTTTGATATGATTATCTCTAGAAAGCGGTTTCCTTGTTTTTGTTGCTCTTTTGCAAAACGTCGAGAAAGTGATCTCGTACCTATTTTCATGTCCCATGATGTTCAAAAACAAGACAGCTATAGAATGTCCTCTTGGAATTGGTAGGGTATATTATATAGTATGTATAATATAATCCATTAACACCATATAGTATAATCCATTAAAAATGCTGTTGTATAGAAAAAGGTGGGGCTCTACATGGGCTCTACCAATACACAAAATCATGTGTCATTAGAACAAATATTGTTGTTCTTGTTTTTTCTAAGGGACTTGGATTGAACCATTTCCTAGAGAAAATCCTAACGGGGATATAGGTGCTTTAACTAGCTCCAACTACATCCACAACCACTGCTACAATGTCCCTCCAACCACCGCTTTCATAATACATCCGACGAGGCATAGGCATTCGCATCCATAATGCTGGATCCAAGAATCGTTGTCCCGGCTTCGCTGATGTACAGGTACCGATGCAGGCAAAGTATGCCAATGATCCCAGCAAGTCTTGCAATAGTACTGACCATTGGGAGCATGCCATCCAAACTTGCACAAAGAGCCTCGCACTCCGTGAGAGACTAAATCAGAAAAAAGTTTCTTGATGCTTTTTGGTGGAGGCCAATTAGCTTGGACACCTCTGCTATCGGAGACCGTCAAACTGAAGCTCAAACTGAATACAATAGTGTCATGACGTCCGAAGGCACCTACAGTGGTTTCAGAGTGGGTGGACAGTCGACACGCCCATGACCTCTTTTCAAGACCTCTTGTGGGTATGCCCATGACCTTGAGGGGAGTACCATGACGACCGGGGGGCACATCGAATCAATCGGGCCTCTGAGGTCTTTACGTGAAGTCAACGTTACCTACCACAAAGCTCAAAATCTGTCCCCAGAGCCCAGGAGCTGCATTCATCACAGCCTTTGCCATCACCTCAGGTCCGCCGCGGCGTATGCGCGGCGTACACGGCGGTGCCACGGTCCCGGACCGACGGACACAACGCCAAAGCGCCGGTCAAGCGCCGAGTCAAAGCAAAGTCAGAGGTGCTGAGTCAAAGCCGAATCTGAAAAACGGGTCTAGATGGGTTAGCAAACTTGGAGCTCAGAAGGGTATTTCTTGGGAGAGTATCTTGATCGATACAGTACCTGTTCTTCATGTTTTCTTCTATCCAGAAAGTCCGCCAGGTGGCTCTTCCAAGTGCTATTCCATGGCCAGTCGGCTTCAGTTGCACGCTCCTGCAGCCGTCTTCGTCATTGCACCGCTTTCAACCTCATTCAACCTCATTCAACAGATTCTTCATCACACTTTCTAACCTTCGTGCACCCGTATCTTCATCATCCGCGTTAATCTGAACTGGGATATTTGCTATTTCGTCTATTACCATCTGCAGTAAAAATCAGCTTGACGTTTTCCGTCTTCATGATTTCAATTTTTTGACTCACCAAACGGAAAGAATCTTTACAAGATCTGAATGAGACAACGGAGTGAGTCTTGTAGTGATCGGAAAGCGCCCTTGAAATTCCGCCATCAAATCCTCTTTTTTCGCGGTATGAAACGCGCCTGACGCAATACACAAAATATGATCGGTCTTTACCATACCATGTTTTGTAGAAATAGGTTTTCCTTCAACAAGCGTCAGCAAATCACGCTGCACCCCATCTCTGCTCACGCTTCCTCTATGATACCTTCCGCTGCTCTCACATATTTTATCTAAACTCTTCAACCTCTCTCAGCGCGTGCTTAATAATATCTTCCCCCTCAAGCTCTCTGCTGATCTCCTCGATATCACCATCTTTACCAGCTCTGGGAAGTATAGAGCCTGCCTCCATACCTTTTGGTGCTGCTGCAGTAGGTGCATGCCTTGAACTTCTGGGAGCCTTTGATTGGACCGTGACGATACATCATCATGGTCACTCAGATCTTCTTCCAAATACACGTCATCATAACCATCCAGATCTTTTTTTTGCTTTATTGAATGCGATTGATGTAAGATACATCAGTTGCGTGCTCAGACCTCTCAAGAACGTCAAATACGCAACAAAACTATACTCAGTACGTGTTTGACACTATTTTGGGAACTGAAAGTGACTGTGAAAGTCATGCTGTTGGCTTTACATATGCATTCATCTGTACAACTCTTGTACAAATAGAGAGAAGACGCAAAGTCGCCATAACCGCACCAACTTCATGCGCCTATAAATCAGTTCTAGACATGAAGCTGAGATCATAAAAATAATATATTCTTAGAACAAAAACTTGATCATATTAGTACAACTACACAAAATCAAGAGAATACAAATACTTCTATTTTTGCATACTCAACAAATCGATGTAACACTTCTGCAGTCGCGTGTAGCTAAGCCTATCAAGAATGCTAAATACACGAGACAATACAGCAACCGCATGATTGGTCAGGTGATATGCACTCATGAGAAGTGCTACCGTCTACGACTTAAGAATTAGAGAACCCGTGCTTTCCCAGGATGAATTTGATAGGGCACCCCTATTCTCCACGATGTGTTTCCACCGCTTCTGCCCTTCTTTGGGTGGAACGGCTGGAGCCAGAGGAACGGCTTCGGCGTTCACACGAGGAACGGACCTTCACATCCCATCGTCTCTCCCTCCGACTTCGGAGCGTTAGAAAGCGTTCAGCAATGTGCATCAAGACTTGGATTTGCGGAACATTCGGAAAAACGAAAAAACATGTTATTCATAAATCAATATAAATCATAGTCCACACGTTTGGGGATTTACCCATCGGGAAAGCACAACTAAGTAACTAATCACCTCAAGCAAAACCAGGCAAGGTTGGCCCCCCACAAAAACATAGGACACTTTGGGACCATGCACCTTTGCAGAAACCACCCTTTTGCAACATATATGACTATCAAATGACTATCAATCACAGCAAGTGTAGATTTTAACAGATGCTAGAGGCCGCCAAGCTCAGGGAGGTTACACCCGGTTGAAACCGCGACTTCCGTAGTGCTTCTTGTGTTTCAGCATGAGGCACGACGTGTTTGAGACAAAACGTCTCCACCCATTGGAATATCATTCATCACCCAGCCTGAGGGATGGAAATCCCAAAGTGTTGGTCGCATCAGGTCATGGTGTTCGTTTGCTTCAGAATCCAATCCGTCGTCAAAAGGATGTGTGAGAAGTCCCCCGAGTCATTTTCCCTTCTTCAACCGACAAACATGACCTCAGGTTCAATCTGATGAGGTTTGCTTCTTCTGTGCTCATCTCATTGGAACAATACCCAAACAAAAAATATCACCAAAGCGCCGCTTCGCAGTACCTCCACGTTGTATTTATTTGATCCTACCAGTAATATATAGGGGGGCAAGTGGCCCTGACTGCCGTTGCTCATCGGTGACTTGTTCTAGCCAAACAGGAAGGCACGTGTGTGCCTACGGCTTGCCAGTCCCTCCAGGACACGTTTTCCACTTCTGACCTGGGACAGCAGTCTGCATGGAAAAGCATGTCGGCATTTGGCTGCATAGTTGTTGAACACCATTGAAAACCCTTCCCCCAACAGGTTATACTGACTGTAGGAGGTTGATGCTGGCCTGCCATAGTCACATACGAAGTGTTCGGCCAGCTTGTTGTCTGGAATGCAATCATCGCAAGAAGGGACAAACACAGAAAATGAAACTTTCAACACCTCCGAATCGGGGCACATTCCTGGACGGGGAGCGAAAAGGAGCGAAAGAGCGAGCGAGAGGGAGGAAGGGCCGGGAGAGTGTGAGAGAGGGAAAGTTGGAGAAAGTGACTTCATGTCGTGGGGTACCTTGTCCTTTGTGTTCACATCTTTCACTCACACGAGGTTGAAATACTATATATGAACGTCTGCCAAAACGTACCGTCAAGTAGAGGACATGATTCAGCAAGGTTATCGCTTTTGAGGCGGGCTTATCGCTTCTGCAGCCCAATTCCTGAAACTCACGACTGCTCAGCATACTAGATTAGCACGTTTTGGTGGTTGCTCAACCAGCCCAACTCCCCTAATTGCAGTGTTTGGAAGTCACTGAGCCACTCCTCCGCTGTCTGGGTGGCCCGTACAAATCCGCCTGGTCGTTTTCAGGCATTTGGCCGGGTCAACGGTCAAATGAATTGAGTGCAGCAAACATGTTCAAAGGGGGGGTATTCTTTACAGATGCACACAGCGTGCATCAAAGCAGTGGGCTGTTGAGTGCAAATCTTGACTCTGACAGTGGATTCTCTGTTTCAGCAAACTTGGGCTGGTCCATGCCATGGCTTGGTCGCAAAGCTTCAAGGGGAGGCCACCCCCATGTCAGCTAGTTAGGCTAAAAATCACAGTCTACCCGTACTAAGGGGTCCCTTCTGACAAAGTGTGGCATAGTTCTCATCAATAGGGAAGATTCCACGGCAGGGGGTGGCTTGGGTGCTTCCACATAACGTCTTGGATGTCCCTAGTTGGAAATATAGCCTGCAGCTCAGGCTTGCCTTATGGACAAAGTAGTATCAAGGTTTATTTTCCTCGCATGGGGCAACATAAAGCTTCCTACAGTCCTACAGTACCTATAGCCTATCTCTCTCCAAAGACCCCATTTTCACACGACTGTCATCCATAAAATCACAGGAACACATCCACAAACACATGGTTGGTTTTCACGCTGTTGATCATCTGGCCCAAATCCAAGCACACCATTATCCTCCAACCAAGAAAAATATAGAACTTGATAGAACTTGATGATGCAAAATTTATCTTCAAGGTTTGGTGAGAGCAACATGTCAAGGCGACTTTGTGAATTTTTCATTCAAAGGATTTACTCTTTGAACTCGGTGAGTTCTGTCAACCTCCCCGTGGCTCCCCTGGTCCGCACTGCCACGCGAGTCGCGATGCGAGTCGCGATGCGAACGCAGGCGCCTCCACCGATCTTGGGGCGTCAGTCTGACGGCCGGCAAGATAATGGATATCAATGTGTTTCAACCGTTTTATGTGTGTGTTTTTGGTTTTTGACTATATATATATAATTGAAACATGATAATTTACACTATAAATATATATATATATCTTATATAGTATTATATATATAGTAAACAGTTCTTCTTATTGTGTTAAATATATATATATATTCAAAAAACGCCAGCCCCAAAGCGTAAGGTGTTGCTGGTTTGGTTCTTATATGTTGTAGTATAAGTCCTTCAATTTTTCTGTGGTGTGCTACAAGTAATTGGTATTATCGGTATACAATACTTTTCCAACATCATCATCGTTGGCACCTTGAAATTGGCTATCCTACCGGCTTCCAACATCAGTTATATCATCCGGAGGAATGGTGGAATGACGACCTAAAACTGCAGTACCCCTGGCTCCTTTGCTGAGGTTTACAATCTGTGCCATTTCAATCAAGAAAATCGGAACAGTAAGCAAATGTTCGAGCCCTGGCAAGGATTACACTCGCTAGAAACAAACAAAAAAGACACGTGTCATGTCACGAGTGGGGGTGTTACAAAACGGGCTCTCCCGCCTAAGTACACCCTGGAAGACTAACATGGACCCTGAAAACCACTGGTTGGTAGAGGAAAACACTCTTCCAGGCGGGCCAGGACGTCAGGGTTAATGTTTTGTGTTCGGGAGTGTAACCGTCTCGGAGATGAGGTGTCAAGACGCGTTCTGGGTCCCATGGGCCAGGGCCCGAAGACTCGGATGATGAATCCAATCCGATGACCTTGGGAGGAGCTACTTACTCGTAGCGTCCGATCGCTCCGTTCGTGTACGCGATGCCCTTTCCCTTTGTTCCGTTCGTAGCGTGCTTCTTGCTCCTAGTAAGGCCAGGAACCCCTAGGATTGAACTCACTTACTCCACTTCCACCATGATGATTTGGAGTGTACTCTCCCCAGTCACATGCATGAAACCATGTGGACGTCGGTTGGTCGATACTGGTCGTTACTTGCCTCACCGAAGTTCTGTTGGTCCACTTTCGGAGTTTTGTTTTGACACCAGGGAGACTCTGGGCACCAACGTTTCGGAAAGACTCATCTTTTTCCAATAGCGATGGCCTCCATCCTAATAGCCATGGCCTCCAACACAGAAATCTGATGACTTAAGAAGAATGCATACAATACAGGCGCCACCAGCCTTCGTGATCCGGCGCCCTGTCCGACAGCGATCGCCCGCCATGCACTGCCTGCACTCCACCCGGCCGCCTGCGTGCCACATGCCAGGACGCTGCCAAATGGTGACGCTGGCGCCTGAAGTGATGGACGTGCCGTGCAGCGTCGCCATCCGATGTATTACCCCCATCACAGCCACTCATCTCTACTCCAGTTGTTTTTTCTCGAAGTTTTTTCAAAGAAGCACTGAGTGTTGCCGCCATCAACTCTCTACCTGCAAGAATTGAACCTTTCAACACCTGTAGTTCTGAGACAAAAGACTTGCTGGAATATGACCAAAAATGCTCCAATCACTGTGCAGGACTAGACCTTTGGGTTCTGGGGAGTTCTGGGTTTCTGGGTTTTGTGGGGACACTCTTCTAAGTCAAATACATTATGTAATCCCCCCATTTGGATGCACGGACTTGCGATTCGACAGTTCGACGCGCGCCCACAACCGCCCCTTGTCACCTAATGTGATGGGTACAGGTGGGTTTGGCACGCACTGTGGGACAATGGCAATTGCAAAAGGCTCCACCATGTGGACATGAGATCCTACCCATGCAAGACTAAATGACTGCTACCAGGCGCCCAGTATGGGAAGCTTACAAGGGGAAAGTCTGTACACCTCAGCGTCGCACAGCGACTGGGTCGTATGCAGCGAAGGAAAAAGACGAGAAGGCAGGATCAACTCATGAGAACCGCTTTTCGCTATGACGAAGCATCAAAAAATGACGAGTCATTGGCTCAGGCCGATGTTCATATGTAAGTGCCTTTTGCAAGTGCCTTTTGGCCACATGGGACTTCAAAGTCACCAAAAGAGTCTTCAAAAAATAATTCGCCATCAAGCACGACTTTCAGAGCACAATTTTTGGTAAAAGCCCGAGTTGGGAACCTCCGTAGACCCTTTAGGTCGAGTGAGTCTATTTAACAACTCGACAAAGCAAAAAGGAACTCCAAGAAAAGATACCACCATCACAGCGACTACACCATCTTGGCTCTAAGAACTCCCAAAAATAGAAGAATGTCTCGACTTCCTCGAGGAAACATGCCTTGCTCATCTCTTGACAGACTTCTGGAAACTTGGCGGATGTCATCACTAAATGAGTCGAACGCATTCCAAGGTTGGTCTCTGCTATGATCATCTCATGGCTGGGGCATATCGACGTTCATAGTGTCATGGCTCAGTTTGCACTCCCCAAAAGGGAAGTGACAAACATGCCGGCGTGAAGGCCTGAGCCACAATGCCTCCCCCCATTTGGATTGTAAAATCTTTGCTTGTGGGGGGTTGAAATGTAATCAACAGTCTACATTAAGCACTTGGTGCCAATGTCTGGCTCATGCTTCGGGTCTGACATCTTCAAATCCAAGGAACAGTTCCCACCAGCCAAGTTGAAGGAGAAAATAGCAGAAGTATCCCCCCAAAAGTTGTGTTGGCATACGTAGAACCCCACTCCCACTCCCACCATCTGTAGTTTTCCATCTACAAAACACTGGAGCTATTGGAAGTCGGGCTGAGCACCCCAGCACCATCCTCCTGAAGGCTGAACAAGGCTGTTGACGCTCCCTTCAATCGAAGTGCATGGCATGGTCCCTGGAAAGACCATTTACATGTACAAAAACAGTTGGTTGTCCACTTTTGTCCATTTCCATGCTTGTTGGAGGGGGTGAGGAAGTATACAATGTTAACCGCTACCCAAAGTCTTTCCAAAGGTAACCTGGCTTGGAAACCGTTTGCATGTCCTTGTATAGTAAGGCGCATCCTGCACCACAGCCTGAGATTGGCATTGACCAACTGTTGGAAAGTACCGTCAGAGCACCAACAGCATCCACACATATCCACACCATCATCCCCGGTTTGTAGTGGATTTCCCATCCATGTAAATAACCTTACACAACCGGGACTGGAATAGCTACCTACATTGGCGTCGTTGTCATGAGGGTTCCATGTATGCAACTATTCCAGCCCCATGGTTGGTCTGGGCGGTTTGCGGCCTTTTTGTTGCCTCGTGGGTGTCCTCCAGGTCTTCTTCAGCGAGCTCTTGGAACAGTCCTCGCAGGCGCTCACCTGGGCGACACCCTCGCCCCAGCCGAAAACCAGGGCGTCTCGAAGGGTCTTCAGCACTCCTTTGGAGAGAATCAGCCCGAAGCCGCAAAAAACCATCCAGCCATCTATAGCACTGTCTATAGCGTATAGCTTCTGATTCCTCAACAAACATATCTTTGTGTTGCAGTAGGAATCCGTGGAATCCGTGGTAACGGAAGTGGCACGAAATCCGTGAGTTTCTTCGCTTTGATGTTCGTGCGAAATCAGATGAACCGAAGCAGGGTGGTTCGTCCGAACCCGCTGGAAAACAACGGTGGAAAGGAAACGAGTCGGAGACGCCGACAAGAGAAGCGCTGTGCGTAAAGAATTTAGATGTCTGCACTCGATTTTCAGGTCACCAACATGGTAGGTTGTCACTGGATTTACTACAAAAAACAGACCTAGAATCCTGGGTCCTTGTCCTTGCGTAACTGGCACTGGTAACTAATAACCATGATTCGCTGGGATTCAACATGGACCCTGAAATGATCAGCTCCTAAAGAAAAGGTGCTGTACAAAGCAGTGGTGAACTGGGGGGGGGCATGTAGTCGTCTGCAAGGAGATACCTGATTTTCTCACATGCTCGATGTTTTCTTGTACTTTTGGCAGGTTCACTAATATGGTTTGGATAGTTTGGGAGAGACTTCTACAACATCCATCAAATACCCTCTTCAGCTCGGATCCCGCCGTCAGAGCCCTTGGTGATCATGTGTCACTTTGTGTCACCATGTCATCCAAACTGTGGCGTCGATCTGGAAAACGTCTCTGTTTTGCCCAACATGTATCATCAATCACTTGGTCAAACCCATCATGTTCAGAATCGTGTTGCATTTTCAACTCGCTCACCGTCGAGCTGAGCTCCGGACTGACCTGCGTCCAGCTCCTGACCTCACCGGTGCACCTGATCTCCAGAGGCGTCCAGGTGTACATCGATGCGGCAGTGGCATGGCCTATAGTGGTTTTCCAAATAGATAGTGGCACGGTTTCTGCATTCGATTGTGAGGATCTGCTTTTCTATCTATTTGGGGGTCTATATATATAGTAGATGTAACCTCTGAACAACAAATTTTGGTACTGATCTCGGCATACTGACTTTCTCTTCAAAAGGAATCAGAGATTGGACTATTTTTCAGGCCTGGCATTTCTCAGCTTCACTCAGGTTGGCTCGATTTGGCTCGTTTCTGGCCGAAGCAAGTCATGGTTCCCTCTTCGCCCTGCAGCTTTCGGACGCGACTCTCAGGGTCGGATCGTTGGTCACCACCCGGAGGCCGGAGGCGAGAGACGGGGGAGACCGGGCAGGACGACGACCTACTATCTCTGTGGTGCACAGGTGGCTGCATGGTTTCTCCAGGTCGGGCGAACATGCTGAAAGCAACCACCCCACCGCCATCCACCGCCCAGCTCAAACACCTCAGTCACGCATGCGGAGTGCAGTCCGCAGTTCGTCTTTCAAAGGCCCTGACCCTAAAACAAAATGCAGGATGCAGCCAGATACTAGGAATCCAAGACCCTGTGCCGGCAAACAAAACGATGGTTTTCTTGCGACCGCTGCAGCCTACCGACCTGGACGTTGGTCTTTGTTCTCCTTCTTCCTCTAGATCATGCAGCTCCGCACAGCCTGGCGCCACTTCGCGGCGGCAATTCCCGCGTGGGTCGGTGGTCGTCCACTCGAGCGATGCAGACTTGGAAGGGCTGAGAAAGATGACCGGCAAACCGATAGTAGCTACAACCGCTTGTACTGACCAAGAGCCATGCAAACCAGCAAGTGCTTGTTATTTCTTTGAAGGACAAATCAATCCCACGTTCTCCACTTTTCTTAGCCCAGGTGGGTCAATGAACGGCAGAAGGAACAACTATAATTATGTTGGCGGCAAAGAAAGCATGGATACAAATGGAGACTGGACCCTACATACTGAATCTCATGTGTGATGTTTCTTCCTTTTTCTTACCAGCAGCGTCAGGGTTTAGAAGGCACAGGCACTGCTGCCACTCTACTTACTCTTCCACCGCAAAAATTCCACACAGGGCCATCATGAGAAACATCGACACGTAGTGGCCGGAAAGCCTTACATATATAAGCATGCAGCATGCATTGTGGCCAGCATGGTCTGTTTTTGCTCAAGAGGAATCTCTCTATTCTCTTCGATGAAACAACTGCCGTCCACCGCTGCCCCACCGCATTGAGGCCGCAAATTCGGCCTACGGCTGTAGACTCTGTGGGGCAAAGGCCTCGGGCGGAGAAAACGGAACGGCCAGTGACCAGTGAATAACAACCCCAGACACTCCATGTATGGTATGTTTACCTACATTGGGGTGGTTTTTGAGGGGTCAATGTAGGCATATATGCCATACATGGAGTGTCTGGGAACTGGACCACAAAGTGGAGAACCATTGTTTATACTTGCTACATTCTTTGTTGTGCCAACAGGATCCACTGAGTTGCTCAGTATCAGTACTTGCTAGAGCAACATCGGAAGTTTGGGCTCAAGCTTCTTTGTGCTCATAGAAACCTATAACAGGATTTCCTCTGAACATGCAACTTTTTTCAATGTTTTGGCGTTGCTTCTTTTTTCAACGTGTTAAAATAAACGTCAACTCCTTCCCAATCATCCTGTGGAGCCGAGGCCTGAAAACAACACTATGAAAACGGGCCCCATGCCAGGCCAGGCTCGACTTGGCTGCGACGTAAGGCTGCATTTTTTGGTTCTCTACTACTGGCAGCAGCAGCAGCAGCAGCAAGCGTGGGCAAAACTTTTAGAATCTCTTTCCATTGCCCTTGATTGTCATCGCTGACATGGTATGTTGGCTAGATGGTTTTATGAGACTGTAACTAAATGTGGTTGATGGAGTTGCTCACACTTCGGTTACAGTAGCGGAGTGACGACCCTAGACTAGACTCCACAAGGTGGATATGAGCTGGAAGGATCTGATCTTGGCATAGAGTGTTTGGTGTGTTTGGTGTCAATCGGGTTGTTCAAACTGTGTCAAACTGGCACACACTTTGATAACCACAAATGTCAACCTTGTAGATGGAATTTCTTCTTTTGTCCCCGAACGTCTTGACTGCAAAATGGCTTGCATGCTCTGGATACAGCCGTTTTTAAAGGAACATGTTCATCATTTTATCGCATTGAACTTCCACTTCGATGCAGGTCTGGCAAGGGTATGTAGAACATGGTAATCCACACACGTGATGGCATTCTATGCCCTTGTATGCACTCCAACTGAATATGACAATAAAGGCCGAACACAAAAAACACAGAATTTGTGTCAGAAAGAACACCACATCACCAACAATTGCTCCATGCCCTACCTTCTCTCAGTGTGCTCCAGACCCTCAGTTCAAATGGGACCTCGCCCTTGCAGCTGACGCTCGCTCGCCTCGCTCGCCTCAACTCGACCCCACAGCGACGTTGGGCGTCCCGACTGGAGGGCGTCGGGGAGATCACCCGGCTCTTCAAAGTCTCTTCCCCCTCGGCACAGCACCGCGTGGCGCCGCGCCGCGCCCCGGAGACGTGAAGAGCGCGGTGGGGGTGAGGTGGGTGGCCGCACGATCTGCAGGGTATGCAGTTGGAGTGGAGGACTGTGGCAAGTTGGAGAAAGGAGGTATGACTCTTCCAAGGAGTACCCCGAATTCTCATGGTTTCATGGGAGGACTTGGTCAGTTGCCTGTATTCGATGATACCCTCCAAGAAACATGAAACGTTTTTGGAACCTGATCTCATGCCAAAACCAAGAGGTCCGGCTGGTCGGTCCGGTGATTTCTCCGGGTCTGACCGAGCCCTGCGGCCCGCCTGCGGCCGGCCCTGAGGCGATGTCAACAGGCTTTGTTAGTTAAGTAGACCCCGCAGGGTGACTCCCAAGTGACTTTGGCCAACTTCTGATGTGAGATTCTGCCCTGCCAATTAGAAGAAGTTCCCGTTCCTGCTTCCACAGTCCCAATGATGTCCCATGTAAATTAATACAACACCAGCCAGCTACATGCCAGGCATGCCAGGCACGGTGATCCGCTGGATGCAACTCCAAGCTCTGACTCGTGCGCAGCTCCCAGGCCTTCAAGTGCGTCTCCATGACTTCGCCTGTGATGGGGAAGGCTGGCTCCGACTTCGTCGTCGCAGCTGGCGAGTCGACTCGCATGATTTGGCCCACGAACCACGCATGCTGTTGCTGAAAAATCTACCATTAGTCCAGGTCTCGATGTGAATCTACAAAGACCTCTTGTAACATCCAGGTGAAAGCATTCAACTGCAATAAGAACTGGGAAACAACACTTGTCTGAATTGTACTTGCTATTACTTGCTTGGGAGTTCCCTCCCTGTTGGACGTTCCCAAACCATCCCTCAATTCAGCTGACCCACCGGTCGGCACACCGGTCGGCTCACCCGGTTTGGTTTTCTCTGCACATCGCTGGCCACCAAGAGTCTCGCTTCTGGCGGCAGCTTTGGCGGTGAAGCAAACCCTGAGATCTGCGTCAACTGCGTCACAGAGATGGACGCAGGACTGCGCAGCCACGCCATGCCACGCCGCTGAATCCACTCCTCCATCCTTTCTTCCTCAAAACCATTGAAAGGGCATGGCATTAAATATATATCCAAATTTTCATGGAGAGTCGTCTGTTTCACGGTTGATAGGTGGTGACGGCCAGCAGCACTATACAAGTTCAACTTGATCTTGGCCATGTGGCAGGGTTGAAATTGCGTCGTAGAGAACACCAACAGTGATCATGAATGATCTGCCCAGCATATTGAAGCTTAGTCAGGGCCAAGAAACAAGCATCAAAATCAAGACTATACAAACTATGATAAACTATGTACCCAAATGAAGCCTGGCAATCAAGAGTCTCGCTCCTGATGGACCGGTCAACAGGGATTCGATCTGTATGTCCTTCGGTCAATACCGCTCGTATGATGGATATCCCACGTCCGAGTCTGTCCTCAATCCAAAGCCCGCCTCGGTCCTCAGCTCGGAAATTCCACATTAAAACACACTACTCTTTCAACAAGAAAGGGTGCAAAAGGTGACTGCCACCGAGTTCCCTTGACAGCGAACTGTGTACTAGGAATAGATGTGTGGAAATACGACCCTATGCAAAGCTTACTCAACATGTAACATGCATGTCTCACAATTCCCTTGCGCAGCGCTTTTCAGGTACTTAGCCCAAATCATATACTACCTGGACCTTCTTTTGATACAAAAAAACATGCTCAAGTGTTCAATTGATACACTTTTTGCTGGGTCGAGCGCTTTTTCGAGAGGGACTTCAATTGGGAGGTTCATCTTGGGAGGTTTCTTGCGGTGCTCACCTGAAATTTATACAGCCGAGCCTCACAATCATGGGGCCGTCAATGTCATCCTCTTCTCTCAAATCCGCCTCCGGACCCTGTGCATCCTCAGTGTACTGGACGCCCTCTCGCTGTGGAGCTGCTTTCTTCAGCTGCGGACGGGCCTTCTGAGGGAAATCCCGCAGGGCTGCGTTGATGAGCGCGGCATCCTGCTCCAACGCCAAGATGTGCGCGTCCCGACGCAGCTCGAAGCCTGAACAACAGAAATGGTGGAAGACTTGCGATGGGAGAGTGGTTTGCCGAGCCCTTGCACTGAATAGAATTGGATATGAACATATATGAACCCAAAACCCATGCGTGCCCATATTGAGTATATATTTTGGTGATGATTCCCTCTCAATGGTGAATACCTTAACGGTGAAGTCAAACCCCTGGAGTCCTGGACATCACAGTAGGTCGACACCTACGGTCCTATAGGTCCTAGGTGGGTGTTCAACGCTTGGTGGTCAAATCATGCGAACATATGCTGAACTATAAGTTACACATCTACATATGTTCTGCATAAGTTACAAATCACACATAATCTACATATGTTATGCAGAACTAAACCTATATAGTATAATAGATCTACAAGTTACAACCAACAAATCCTGGAGGCAAAACTCGTTTCGCCGAGCAACCATCAGCAGCAAGTTGTTGCAGCTCCAGAAGCTAATCCGGTGAGCGCATGGAACAAACAGAATTTTCACCGGATTTCCCTCCGGGTCAACACCTTACTTGCAAACAATCATACCGAAGTGAAGACAGGTGGATTGACCCATTCAGGGCCTGACCCTCCCAAGGAAACCACTTAACAGTATGTGGTTGTTTGTATCATGTTCTGTCATAGGCAAAGGATGCTGAAGGCAGGGTGTGGTTTTTGGCCTGAAAAATCTCTGTATAGTCAGATCAAAAGCTTTTGGGAGGATGGCATTCTCAGCAGCTGAGATTCTGCATCCAGCTTCCCGAATGCGATCATGCAGTGATTTTAGAGGCCCATGTGGATTGAAGAGAAGGTCGATCACGTGCTGGGCGTTGGCAAAACCGTTGAGTCGGAACAACCGGACGCCGTGCATGTTCAGAGGTGGCACGTCATTTCGGCTCGCGCGCATGGCCAACATGAGCTCATCGGTGGCTTTCTCATCCACAGCACCATCAGGATCAGCATGGAAGGTGTCTTGTGGAGCTTCTTGGCTCGATGGTTGAGCTTCTTGGCTCGATGGAGTCATGTGAGGCTCTTGTGGATCTTCTGCATCAAGCTCCTCGTTTTGTGGGTGTTCTACATGTCCTGAGCTCCCAGCATTCTGCAAATTCTTCTCAACTTGGGATGTGGGCGAACGCAGAAAAGGATCAAAGCCCCAGGCTTCCGCATCGTCCCACAAATCCAAATCCTTGATGATCTTCGGCACCTCCACAGAGAAAGCCACCACCTCATCCACCAGCAAAGGTGGACAAAATCTACCATGTGAAAGCTTCTTCATGGCCTGGTAGATGGCAGTTGCTTTGGCTGAAATCTCCAACTTCCACGCAACCTGCCACGCCGCGCGGGCTGCTGCCATGGCCGCAGACCGGCATCCAGGATCTGCATCCAATTGAGGCTTTCGCAAAAGACAACAGCCCTTGTCAGACAGCTCAGTGCCCATGGTGGCCAGAAAAGATGCACAGTCCGATTGTCCAAAAAGAACTGCGCAATCCGATTGTCCAAAGAGACGGAAGATATCTCCAGAGGCATGAGCTCAAAGATGCTGCAATCGGCGAGATTCCAGCTGTAATGGGCATCTTTGAGCCGGTCTTTCCCCAAAAGAGGAAGTCCAGTGTGAGGGTCTACCAGGAAGAATCTGCCGTTCGGCCGTTCTCTTGTGATGGTACCGGAGTTAGACTTGGCACCAGATCTGCAAAGCCACAGGGAACACGGCACAAAACTAACGCCACCCGGAATGGAATCAGAATTGCTGGGGCCATCCCCAAGCTTGTGTGGAGGCTCTGAAGCGCCACACCGGTTGAGAGGGCTGCGAGAAGCATCTCACAGACCGCAGGCTCCAGGGTCACCGCGGGCTCCGGACGGACGAGGACTCTCTCAAATTCAGTGTCAGATTCCCGAGTCAACGGGTACCAGGAATTGTCCCATCTATGTGTATTGAACATACCGTAAAAACTCCACCGTCGCAGGGGCCTGAGACTCGATCGCTCCGCACAAAGCACAGCTGCCTCTTTGTTGCCAGTGAGTATTGCGATGTCCAGTAGATGCACCAAGGCCTCCTCCGAAATGGCAAAGGGCAATGCAGTGCCACAGCGAAGGGCCTCCAGCAAGTTCCAGACCAAGGGCTGCTCGGCTGTTTGGCACGCAGCATCTGCGGCATATTCAAGATGTGCCGTCCAGTCCTCCATCCAAATGCCGTGGTCGATTGGGAAGCCGAAGCAGCACTCGTCACAGGTCTTCCATTGTTTCCAGCAACATGGGCAGCTGTATTGGCTGTGCCTAAAAGGGTCATCATCAGACACGCCATCACCAAGTTCAAAGAAAATCCTGTTGAGGTGATGGACTTCCAATCCGCCTCCAACTCCTCTCTGAGCCATGGCACAGGCAGTGTCGAAGAGACCCAATTTGAGGCACACATCGAAGAGCTGCACCTCGCCCCACTGAGAAGCGATCTTTTCTCTCAGGACGTGCGACCTTCCATCAATGCCACAGCTATCTGGAACTCTTTTACTCCACAAATCCTCTCCTGGGACTTCCCGGCGTAGCACACGAAATCCCTGGCATCCATTCTGCGAAGTCTACACGCGCACAGATCAACCTATAGGAATGAGCCATCTGCCTGCGACTCTCACATGCTGTGGGAGCCATTGGCCATTCCTTCTCCCCCACCCCGAAAAGATTTCTCACTCTTTTTCAGTCTCCCGCGACCGATCCCATGCGAAACAACAAACGCGATGAATCCGCGATGAACATCTCTCATCGTCGGGGAGGTTTAGGGAAAGAAACGGTGGTCATCGAATCCTGATGAGCATGCGTGGAATAAGTATATACTAGAAATTTATTTACACCCAGTATGTTTATGTATGTTTGGTATCATCCAGGATTTTGGGGAGTTAACCTCAACTTTTCATGCAAAAGATCGACTTTTGGCTTTGCGATTGGCCTTTACAAGGTGTAGAGTGTAGGGAACACTTTTACATCTTGTACCAGTGTTTTCTTCTTGCAAAAAGCAGGCTTAAAAATGCTTAAAGTAGACTTCCTGGTGACCTTCAGGCACCTTAAGAGGAACAGCTCTGGATGCAGCTGTCCTTCCCTTTCGCGCCCAAATGCCCAGCCCCCCCGCGCCTGCGCGAAACTTGGGGCTCGTGACCCCTTCTTCTACACTGTGTAGATTTGAGCTCATGTAGCAGCAGTCATGAAATGAACCTACCTAATCCGGTCGTAAGCTACCTAATACGGTGTCTGTCTCCTCGAAGACCCTCTTGTTATTCGTAAATTTTCCAGGAGTCTTCATGCCAAGCATGCCTAAGCCGCACACCGTTCTTCCTGATCAGGTGGTGAGGAACACGTTGCTTCTACCCGTGGAGGGGAACACCGTGAAGGGGAACACCGTTCTGAACCTCACCCAGTGTGTGGCCAGGCAATACCAAGCAACCCACCATGTGAGCTGGTCAGTTCTTAGTCCTTTGATTTCCAACCATGAACATGGGACTGGAATATTTACCATATATTTACCTATACACTGGGTCCACTGGGTGTTTGCTTCCCAGAGGTCAATGTAGGTACAGTCGACTCACATCTTCCAGTCCCAGTCGACTCACTTTCGGAGCAGCCTGCGTTTCACCTCACGTCGACTCACGTTGACAGCCGCTTGATAGCGGTGAACTCGTGGTGAACTCCAACTCGTGCCCCCGACGTGGCACGAGTCGTAATTTCTATATATATGTATATATATAGTAGAGATTATATATAAACATATATAGTATTCATTAAAAATTCGAGATCATGAACACTACTATGTATTAGAACCTATAGTTTTACGTATTCCAATACTTACGGTTTCAGAGAATCCAAAACAACTCTCCCACTCTACATTGCAGCGGTCGGCGCCTCCGCGAGGCCGCCGGAGCGCCACCTGGCGGGTCGACACCGCGGTCCCTCGAGCGGTCTCCATGAAGTCTAAGGGTGATTGTTAACACACCCAACCGAAATACATCGAAACAATATAATATATATATATACCAGCTAAACCAAAAGTGCTAGAATTGTTACACCGTCTTTCAAAATGTACATTTTTGAGAAATACATACTCAAGGATAATAGTTTCATTTCTTTTTTTAAAGTTACACTTTTACTAAATACATACTCAACTTGAATATCTCCGGGTTATGATTAATGATGAATAGTACAGAATCAAGTACAGACAGGAGTCTCTGATGAATAGTGCAGTATATGCGACTTCCCATGGGTCTCTGACAGGAGACTCTTCTTCATTGCCAGCACAGCATCATCAGTAAGCATGGCTGCGCCCTCAACAAGGTCTGAACAATTCCAAACACAGCTCAGTAGTGGCACCATGTGATCCCCAATGGCTACATGCAACAATCACTGGATTACACAATACATGCTCATGTAACACCATTACATGCTCATGATCTCCGCTCAGAATCCGGGTTTCTCCGCTCAGAGTCCGGTTTTTTCCGGGTCTAGTCCGGGTCAGTATTTTCTCCGGGTCTTAATTTCTATTTCTCCGGGTCACGTGTTACCTAATACATGCTCACCAGTCCAAATACATGCTCAACCCATTTTCTCCTATATCACGTTAATCACGCTCGCATTCTATATCTATATACAATATGGGAAGGTTGTTCTTCCATCGGGCTGGCACCATCAAATTCTTGGAGCCTCTCATGTAGACAATGGCCTCCTCCAAGCAAGCCTGCCCGGAGATATTCAAGTATATGACCAACAGTATATGATGAATCAAGTATACTGCAATGCATGTTATGACCAACAAGTTATATTTGTGTTAATGTTATTTATGCAATTACGCAATACCTACCCTTTTACTAAATACATACTCAAGATAAAAACTTTTATACCAAAAGCAAAAATCAACATTTTTCAAAAATATGTACTTTTTCGGGTTGTTACGGCTTAGCTGGTATGTCAAAACATATTAAAACTATAAAAGTTGATAAAATAGACCCGATAATAAATAGTGGTACGGTATACAAATTTATTACTTCAGCACAGTATCCAACAACTTCAGGTATCACCTCTCCTCATAAGTGGCTGCAACATTGTAGCCTTACAAATTGAGATTCATCCTCGCCAGGAACGTTTCCCCGTTGTGACGGCCAGCAGCGTTTCCACACGCCGTGGGATGAAACAAAATCCACTCTGCAACCGGAAGATCCATTTGACCACCGGGGCAGCGCACAAGATCTGCTGCACTTGCTGGTTGTCCAATGCCTGGCACACACAGCGGGTCACCCGCAGAGGGTTCTCCTCTGCGGCCAGTTGAGGTAGTCTGAGGCACTCTGACGTGACAGAACTGCCATGCTGAGAACAGTGCGACATAGGCCGTGATCATCTGCGATCTCTAAACACTGGGATGAAAGAGAACTGAGCACATTGGGCGACGACAAGAGCAACAACCGACCGACCAACCCACCAACCCACCAACCCACCAACCCACCAACCCACCAACCCACCCACCCACCCACCAACCAACCAACCAAGCAAGCAAGAAAGAAAAAAAGAAAGAAAGAAAGCAAGCAAGGGAAGGAAGGAAGGAAAGAAAGAACGCACCACAAACACAACTACTACAACAACACCAACAGCAACAACAAAAAACACATATTACATCATGGTCGTGCTACAAAAGAAGAAACACTTGTTTGATATCGAACCCATATGAAGTTTTGCTCCCCACAACCTGTCCGACAAGCACTTGCCGGGCCCAAATCCCTTTTGTCTTCTGCTGCTCTTCTTTGATGTTGACTGCATCCGACATGGCAAGCCGTCTTTCAGCCGCTAGTTTTGGCTGAAAACGGTCGATGCGGTGAATTTCGAAACAGAAAACGTACAGGGCCGAAACCATCAGTTGAACCCTTACCAATGGGTGTTTTGTTGGGCCTCCGAGAAGCTGCCTGCCATGCACGCAGCACCCACAATGGCCTGGCCCCCAAACAACCCAATGAGTTCAGCCTCGGCTTCGAATTAAGACCGCCTTTTTGGCCGGCTGCACGGTGCTGCACAAATGGTTGTCTCCACTTCATCTGTGGTGGTCTCCACCGGTGCTCACTCGCACACGTGCGGGGCTAGCCACCTGGGCTTCCAACTTCATCTCCTTGGTTGGCTCATCCTGAATCTCCTGCACAAGGGTGAAAACGTGCTGGGAATTGGCTCATGTGTTCATGTTGACATGACATGAGGTGATTTTATAACATGTATTTGAACTTCAAAAATCCTGGAACTGAATCTTTTGGTGAGACTCTGGATGTCACAGCCTGCCGTTCATGCTGTTATGTCATGGCCGGGGGCACAGTAGGGTCGGCACGAAGAGACCTTCATGTGAAACCCACACGGGACCAGCTGACTAAGGGAACTGTGTAAATCCGTTCATGGGTGTATCAAGCATGGAAGTGCACAACCTCCTGCCTCCCTGTGGGAAAGTATAATTTATAGTTTCTACATGGCCCCTTGCTTGTGCAAAGTGGCCATCTCAAGATCAGGGCTTTGGGCCAGTCGGTCTCATGCCACTCCACGTACAATCCAAACGGGTTCACCAACCAGTGCCGGAGAGCAAGATGACCGCGAGAGTAAAGTCGCCTTCCAAACATGCTCCGATAGTTTCTATTCTTGTCTTGAAAAAGGAAAATACCTGCAGTTCAGCAATTATGTAAAAGATTGTAAAAGCATAATGTGTAGAGATGTGCAAAGGTTAGCCCTTCCATCAGACCAAACATGACTGGACTCTAAACCAAACATGACTCCGAACCACCCGCGCTCCACCGCGCTGCATGCTCTCCTCCATGCGCATGCGCTTGGCCGGAGGCTCCAATGTCTCCGTCGTCGTGCCCGACGTCTTGGTCGTGTCGGCGTTGAGGCGATCGAACGCGGCGGAGGCCTCCTGGATGGTCGAAGCCTTCCTGGGCGCTTCATGCTGCGCGGTGCGAAACCAAGGCCCTCTTCTCAGGAAACCGACCACGAAACCAAGGTCTGTGAGCAGAGAAGAAGTGGTCCCCCCTGTGAAGATTCCCTGCATTTGGATGGGGGAGGAGAGGCGACGAGGTTTGGAACTTCGGGGTGGGCAAGAATCGGAGACGATATGATATGGGATATGAATGGGCCCTTCAACGTCAAGTCTCATGCCGCCAAGTACTTGCTGTTGAATCTGTGGGATCTGTTGGAAACAACAAAGCTTCATGGGCACGAATCATTTCGGAAAATGGCCTGCTTAGGGAACGTCGACCAAACCCCAATCAATTGCACCTTCTCTAACAAATGGACATGAAAACAAACCCAACAACTGGAACCTGAAAAATATTGTCATGAAAACAACCGGTTCCATTCCATCGATGGACAAGAAAGCACTGCCTGATCCAGTACGATGAGGACAAAAGGAGCGAAGCCACCCTTCTTGCATGGAAATATAATGAAATATGAGTGCATATAGACGATGGTTCACTAGCAAAACATAGCAAAACAACATTTGCCATGGCTAGAGGATCACATTCTGCAGTAATCTGTAGTAAACAAACTAACACTATATACATGTGAATGAACCATTAAAAAACACACACAAAAAAAAAACATGTGTTTTCACGTATGAACAACATTTTTCCAATGACCGGAACCGGAACCGAAGCGGGTGACACCCCCCTATCTGCAGTACTCTGTAGATTAAAACCAGGAGTCACACCCATCGGGACAGTAGTGGCCTGCCTGTTGGTGGGTGGTAGGTATCTCATTGGTCCGAACCCGGCCTGGCGCCCGACGAGGGTGTCTCCATGAGTCGCACACCGTGAAGAACCGGCACCCGAAGGAAGTCGCAGCCGATCGGGCATGGCATCCACCAAAGGCTGGTGGTGAACCTCTACTGTTCATCTCTGTTGGAAAACAGAAGATCCCCCATAGAAAACGGTTTTACATCCGCCCATGCCGCACTTCCTCTGCTCTTTGCTTGATCTCGGGTCGTCAGCCATCGCTGAACATAGACGACTCGGAGTCGCGGCTCGAATCGCTTCGCTCATCGCTTCCCGAGCTTCTGCTCCTCGACCTGCCATTTCTCCTTCACAGCCTCCAGCTCCTGGGACTCGTGACGAGACCGGCTGAGTCCCCTGTGACCCACGCCTTTTGGGAGCTGGTCTCACCCCCAGGCTGGCTGGTCTCACCGACCGCGGTCCGTGTGGGGTTAGAAGGACTCTGACGGTGATAGGAGGCTGCCAATCAAGAAACAACCCTTTGGGGCACGGTTGTCGCCATCTGATACCATCTGTGGAGATATCTGGACCTGATATGGAAAGACAGAACTAAGCTCTCCTCACACCCTGTGCCTGACACAAGAGTCACTTGGGTTGCCCTCAAGCTGCTCTGGATGATAGGGGTTTTAGAGCCGCTGGTTGCCTTGAAATTGTCCCAAGCAACTTGCCCGTGCCCAGTTGCTTTTCTTAATTGATGATCTTCCACCTATTCCCTCTGACCTAAAACGAAGGAGAAAACTCTGTGTCACTCCACCCCTAGGGATCCACTGCCACCTTGTCAGAAGGTAGTTGGACCCCTCCAATCACCTTCTGACAAGGTACTTGGATCCCTACGGACCCACATCAGCCATCTAAGTGGTTCAAAAAACTGCAGCCAAGGCGCCTTTGTGACCTGCTTCAGGTGATGTTTGCCAAGCTTGATCTCATTCTTGAAGCCCTTCATCTCCGTTTCCACCTGCATAAGCGCTCCGTGGTTGGCACGGAGGTCGGAATGTCTTTCAACTCACAGCAAAAGCAAGAGGCTTCCACAAGTTTTTGTAGGGCTTATTCAGGCTTGTTCTTTTGCAATTAAAGGCATGCATTGGGACGAGATTCATCCAATCTGGCCAGGATTGATTGAGTTTAGAAGAAAGCCCACAGCTCTAACAATGTTTGTATTTTTCAGGACAGCTCTAAACAGAAACGCCAACAGCAAAGTCCTCCAGTGGAGACAGGTCAAAAACTGTATATAGTACTTTGTGGAGACTGGTGAGGTTGCTCTGATGATTGTACTTAGTACTTTGATGTACTTTGTCTCCTTGGGCCTTTGTGGGAATTCAGCGATTTCATTTCGTCCCGTCAAGTGTGGAACCCAAAGAGGTCTCTTGGGTGAGCGTCTTGCAAGAAAACTTCACTATGCTTTCGCTTTTAATCCACTAAGAACACACTGGTCATGCCCGTGTACGTCATGAGGAAAATCCAAAGAAAGAACTTGATGCTGGCCGAGTCGTTGTACAACCCACCAACTCAAAGAGGAGTGCCTAATTAGTTGATCTGCGCTGCGCTTATGAACGCATCTCTAGACTCTAAAATCCAAAACCTTTATATAATAAGTTTAGAGGCTTGACACCCAGAAACTGCACAAACAAACTGCTGGACTCATCTGGAAAAGAGTGGCTTGTACGACTTCTCAAGCCTGAAAAGCCGGTGGCCATAGGAGTTCCCACAGGAGTTCCCAGGCGCTTTTTCCGCACGGAAGACCCGTGCCTGGTGATGTGCCTCCTCAGCCAGCTTGGCCTTCTGGACACAGATCTCATGCAAGGCTTCCAGGCCTTGGTGAAAGCGAGGCCTGGTGTGAAACATCAAACTGTTGGCCAAAAGGCACTTTTTCAGGGGTTGGTAAGACAAGGCTTGAGCTGTTCATTGTTATCTTAGCCCAGTTCAGAATAAAACAGAACTGGTCGACGTTGGATCTTGGCAAGTCCATGGAGCAGTTCCAGGACATCTCCCCCCGTACTTGTGAAGGTGATGCATTGCGGGGGGGTCGTTTAGTAGGGGAAGGGATCACTTCATTGATTGACCAATTGTTTGAGAACGACTACCCCACAAGGCCAAAAGACTCGTAATACAACATTAATATGCAGGGAGTGCAGGGTGGTAACATGCTTTCTGGCACGAACAATGGCAACACCGGCTCACTGGATTTCGGTCAAAACTGGATTTGGGATTCAAAACGGCCAAGGTTTCAACACCCTGTTCTTTGAGCGTTAAAACCTTAAAACGTGTGGGTCCACGGTGCATCATCGAATCCACCAGCCAACATCACCCAGCGGCCTAAAAGCTCCGCCAACAACTGCTTCTCGCCCGGCGCCCGCGCAGAGAGCTGGGCCTCCACCTGCAGAGGGAGATTCATTAGTTTCTGAAGTAAAGAAATTCACAAACAAACTAACATAATAAGAAACGTATTTAGGATATTACAAGGATTTATAAATTATATTATGTTTGTCATGATGGTGGTTCAATTTTTCTATGGGAAGGAAAGCAGTGGCACCGGTTGTCAAGGGAGAAGGGATGGATATCGCTTCTGGTGGAATCCCAAATCTGGTTAAGGGATGTTAAAGGTTAATCCCCCAATCATGGTGAAGTTCACGGTGACGCGGATGACACGTCCAGACTCGGATCAGTTCGAGCGTGGAAATACCAGAGAAATCTGTTCGAGCTAGTTGATGCAATTAAAGTTTATGTGATTGTTGGAAGTGCTGTCCTGTTCAGGTTTACTTTCAGTGCTGTCTCGCCGTCGCCTTTGATATGACGAAGGCATACGAAGGACCACCAGTTCCCTGAAGTCCTTCGTCATCGCCGAGCCCTTATTTTTTTCGGTGAACAATGAACGAACGAAGATCTCGAACTGCAGCCCGTTATCCGCTCTAGTCTGGACCTCTTCTCACTTGAAAAACAGAATACACTCCATGAAAAAATTACATTCAGAGCTTTCTTTGATGGCACTGGGCCTCTCAATCCACGGAAGTTACATGAGTTAAAACCACCTGTTTGGTATTCGAAAAGAAACATCCTCATTTGCACATGTGCGAAACGTTCTGGGACAAAACCCATCCCTCATTTCGCTCATCTGCTCTTCCAAGCAGTGAAGCAAGCTGGGATCCAAATCTCCCACTTGTGTGTGTGTGCGCTCCGTGTCGGCACCTGCTGCATCTTCTCCAGCAATTCCTCCTTGATGCAGTTGATGGCCATCTGATCGAAGTCACCGCGCCCCTCCGGCGGAGTACTGAGCCCCTGCGCGGCGCACACCAAGGTCTTCTCGCAACCGATCTCCTGCGGAGGGCACGGGCTGCATCGGGTCAGCGGCAAGCTGCCCTGGCTGACAGATCCCAAGTTGGAATGAGCAACATCGGTTGACTGAACTCCATGGGGTATACGCGATCAGGGACCAAACTGGATCCACGCTGGTTTTCCGGACATGCGAAACACCAATGCTGAACATCCACATCTCCAGCGGAAGCGCAGAAGAGTGGATCTTCGTGTAAAATGTCTCTGTCACGCTGCTTGAAGCAAAACCCGATTCTGGCTTGGGTTTATCTCTGTTTCCGAGTAACAAACGACCACTTTGAGTATCTAGTAATTCAACAAAACGTCGTCGCTCGAGGCAGAGAGATGGAGATGTCTCAGCAGCTTCGGACGGCACGGGTTCCTCGAATGCCATGACGCCCCTACTCACGACAAATACCTAGACCCTCCCGAGGTAATAAATTTTGCCGTAGGCTGTTGAGGCAATAATTTTTGCCGTATAAACTCAATTTTTCTGCCGTAGCTCAATCCCTGGAAAGTGAAAACGCCGTCAGAGAAGTGAAAACGCCGTCACAAAAGAAGAATCGCCGTTTTGTTTGATCTACCAAATTTCAAGGAGGATATTGTTTTGGTCCGTCCATACCCTGAAATTGCCTTCTCCTTTTTCACTTGAAAGTAGAGCTCATCGTTTTCAAGCCTGATGGTAGCACTTCTCAAGATGTTGCAGCTCTTGTCTAAGGTCTCGATTGACATCACAGCAGGATTTGTTCACATTTTGATCATGCAATGGCTGAAAGGATCGCTTGTGACATGTTGTGACAAGTCTTGCTGCCACCTTGAGTGACCCTAGACAGTGTAAGGGAACGACGCCGTAAGTAGGGGGAAAATGCCGTAAGTACGGGGAAAAACGCCGTAAGTACGGGGAAAAACGCCGCAAGTACGGGTAAGAACGCCGCGCAAGAGGTCGAGTTACCCGCGAAAACCGACGAAAACCCAGCATGTGACACTTCCATCAGCTGCCCTTTCCACTTCACATGACTATGCGAATTTGCTGATATAATAAGACGCCTTTTACGTTCAGTTGCCTTTCAAGCAAGACCCTACAATGTTTTCATACTCGCCTGCACTAAAACTAAAACGAAATGACTCTTTGAGGCGCATGGATGTGTGGACCAAAATTGCCGTCAACTGACCGAAACTGCCACAGTTCATCAAGAAACGCCGTCCCCATGAGATCAATATGGAAGAACGCCGCAGAACGGAAAAAGGCGACGTTTCATGAAAACGGCAATTATTATTGCCGTAACGAAGTTCCAGGTATATGTAAGGCGAGGAACCAACCGAAATGGTCCACCTTGCATGAATGATCTGGTCTAGCTACAGTGTGGCTACCTCTCCTGCAAGTAGCTCTTGAGGCTGCTAAGCTTCTCTTCCATGTCTTCAGGTGTCCCAGCTACCAGGCTGGAGAAGACATCCTCATTCCTGGGAGAAAAAGAACACCAGCGATGACGTACCGTTCAGAAGCTGACGTCCGACCGGGTGGACCAGGTCCGACCCGGAGGTCGGTCCGGAGGTCTTCAGCGCACACTGCGTTCGATGCGTTTGCCATGCGTTTGCCATGCGTTTCGTTGTGTGACAAGGCCAAGAAACAATGAAGACTTGATGTTCAAGTCCTGCATGTGCATGGTCTATGGGACAGCAGGGACGCGTGACGCAGTCTTTTTCTGGTATGTCTTAACCATCCTTCTCAACCCAGTGAACCTAGGAAGGCGACCTCGTTCGGAACATGGCGCTGTTCGACTTTTGAAGGGCGAAGGGCTTGGATTTAAAACCACTTGGGGGGACGGACATACAAAAAAAACATAGAAACCAAAGCAATGAAACAACGTCTATCGAGCTTGAATTTCTATTTGAGAAAAAACATCTCCAGGTCTCCACTAAACGTCTGGATTCGGGTCTAGGTGGCCCAGCGATGAACACGGACACCCACCCAGTTGAATGGCCTGTGGCGAACAACATGTTGGGATTCAGGTACCAACTGACTCCTTCCTTGGGGAAGAATCATGTCCTTATAGGTTTGCTCACAAAACCTGTTGCTAGCTCTAAATTAAGACACTACATCTGATTCAACATATTTTTTGTTTGTTTTCCGCGATGACCCATGTCGCAAGGGTGTGTAAAAACTACACGCGACGACTACACGTCCACCTTCAAAACTTTTTTGGTCTCATGAATACACAGAAAGCCATTTGGCCATTTGGGCAGCCGACACAACCAGGAAAAGGTAGGATTTCAGGAAAGGTGGACCCTAAAAGCCAGCATGTAACATTAAATAGTACAATTAGCAAAGAAAATGCAAAGAAGTATTAACAAATAAATAGTAATGCTGTAAATCAATAGATAACTATATTCCGCATCTAATGGCAATGACATTTGATCCTGCAGTTGAGATTCGAGACATTCTTCACCTTGGCCTCCCTCAGCTCCTTGGTCACGAGAAGCTCTGCCTGACTGGAACTCTCGAGCTTTGTCTTCTCTTCTTCCACGGACTGCAACTCCGCCTCACCGCCGCATGCGGTACCAAATCTAGGGCCATGACCACAGGGATGTCTTGACCGGCGCTGCTGGTCGTTGTTGTTGTTAATCCAGACCAGGCAGGGCTGAATTGAAGCTCGTTTACCCTTCTGGAAGAAAAACGATATACCAAAGGGGCAAAATGATGATCACCTTGCCAACCTCTTTGAGGACAATGGAATACCTTGGACCATGTTTGGTTTATGTGAAACCAGATTCCGATGGGTTGAGCATGCGTTGGGCACTACGCGCGGAGCTTTAGGACCGTAGTGATGTCAATCCTGGAAACGATGTTGGCAAAATGATTCCTGGATTCCAGAATTACGAATTACCTTGGACCAGGATTCCAGGTGCCAAAGCACAAGTCCAGTGATTCCAATCCTGCCAGAGGCACCTTCTTTTAGGGATGGTAACAATCTCTGTTCTGCCAGGAATAGTGACCGAAAAGGAAGATACAGGATGGTAGAAATATGGTAGACATCTACTATGTTACTAGGGGCCTGACAAAGCCCCCTGTTCATCGACCCAAAATCTCAGTTTCAGGGAAAGGAGGAACGTTTTTCCGTTGATACTTTTGCATGGATTCTGTTGTATCCTTTTGGTACTGGACCACTAATTTTGCACCGATCCAATGCCAAATACTGAAACAACACATAGCACCAGGCATGTTCTTTAGCTCCAGTTCGACCACCTGAGGGTTTTTGGGAGTCAAATCCTGCCTGAGTTTCCATCAGAGTCTTCACCTTGGCCTCCAGCGCTGAGAGGACTTGACGCTCTGAGGTCTGGCTGTTCTCCAAGGCAGCAGCTGCTTCTTCGACCTGAAGAACTCGCAGCGACACGCAGCTCAGCTCCAGGAGAGACACGCACAGCTGCTGTGTCACACAGCAGGGAGCGTACCACGCCGTGGGTGTTAAAGAAAGGACTAAAGGACTGCGAAAAGGAACAACACCGACCGTCTCTACTTCGCGGCTTGGCTTGCGAGCTGGACAACAAATATTGTTTAAGTCACCAAGACTAACCACATCTAGCCACCACTCGGGCTCACTTTACCCGAGAGTCTTAAAAGATCTTAAAAGATATGTTGGAAATCATTCTTGAGTTTCATGAACCAACTTTGTATGGTCTGCCACCAGCCACCAAGTGTCACCAAGTGTTTCTGGTGGTTAACTCACCTGTACACACCACTATCAGCTCCAAGCTTAATTGTTTGGTGGTTGAAAGGGTTTGCCAAACATCATCAGGAATTGAACCACACATTCAGTTTGGGCCTTATTCTTCAAACAACACCCACTGACAGCTTACTTCTGGCCGTGGCAAAGGTTGGGATCGCCCTTCGCACTAATTATTGATATCCAACAAAAACACCGCACACCCACACGCGTGCCGTCGCGTTTTCCGCGACGTCGCGCGCGAGTCACAGCGGTTCCGTGACGCGACCTCTGGGCGCGTCGCGTCGCGTGACACGACCTGTCCGCGCCTTCGAACGAAGCAGTTCCGTCCGTTCCTCCAAGGCTTTTTTTGCTTCAGCACTGGAAGTGGAGCACTGGATCCTCAGTGACCAGAATGCACCAGGTATGAGGCGCTGGACTGGTGAACTGAACACCGGTGAACTGCAAGAGACGGCCATGTCGGATCCAGGTTGAACTGAGGTACCTCTGACTGCTCAAAGGGTTGAGGTGAAGAGTCGCCACTCGTGTCGGATGTTCGGCGAATCAGTACGTCTGAATGGGCTCCTGGAATCTGTGGGGATGTACTGAACACCAACCACATTGAGCGAACATGTTTTGTAATGATAGGGAAGCCTCCCCGGTGACCGCCGCCGCCCGGAACACTCAGCGACGCTTTTGGGGGACCTAGGAGGGACCGCCGAGCGCCGCATCGATTTTCCGTGTTTTGTGGTGTAAAAGGATGTATCATGATAATCTGGAAAGTTCGGGAAGGCAGCTGGCTGCAGTAAGAGCTCCTCATCAGCTATCCAGCATTGAAAAGTGAGGACTGCCATGTGCCCTGGGCTTCAAGGCATCACTTTCGCTGCTTCCAAAGAATTCAAACCTGTAAGGACAAATTGCTAGCTAAAAACCTCATCGTAGGGGAACACGGAGAGACCTGTTGGATGTCCAAACTTTGTACAAGACATGACACAGTGCCAGTGTGCTCCACCCACCACCAAAGGCTGCAGCAGCAATCAAACGCTCCTGTCCCTGCAGTGCTTGGCAAAGGAACCAGGTCCCGGCCATCGCGCCGAAGCAAAGAACTCCAGACAGTTGCACTTTGAGGTTTTCCAAGACTTCGCAAATCGTCGAATTGCCTCGTTGGCAATACCTGCAAGCAAAGAAGCTGGTCACATCCATAAAGATCGGAGCGCAAAGGAACCAAAGCACCAGCCCGTCGATCGTCAAGGCGATAACGCTAATGGTGTCGCAACAAAATGCATAAGAGATGGCAAAATCGAGGAACGTCCAAAGGATTGGAATCGACACAGAGAGGCTCCACTGTCTGGTGAAGATCTGGTCATGCAGCCCTGCAAGCAGAGCATCCAAGACCTCTGATCGGGCGTAGTCTTCGAAGGCTTCTTCACTTCCAAACCAAATAGACACACACTCCTTCACGATTTGCCTGTCGCACATCAAAAGAACTCCTCCTTCGACATGGCCGAGATCACAGCATGCACACCGGGTGTTCTTAAAACTGATCTTGCTCAACTTCTCATTTAAGGCGGTAATAGGTCCTGAAGGCAGCTGCTATCAGGTAACCCGTCACGAACACCACGAGGAAGACACCTAAGAGAGGGACCAGAACAACAGTGTCTCTCGAACTCTCCGCACTCGCAACAGTCTCGGCCGGCACCATCACCAGGAAGGCGCAGACAAAGAGAAAGATCGAACATGGCCCGAGAAAGGTGGGTCTGATGAGCAGTTCCCCCTTCCCGGGCTCTTTGCTTTTCAGGAAGGCGGCAAGCTCGAAGACACACCACAAGCGCTCGCTCCAGGTTGGGTCCCACAGCACGAGCATCCGGTCTGACTTCTTCAGGATACCAGCCAAACTAAAAATGCTAGCCGCCTTCAAGTCATTGTCGTTCTCACTGATGCAAATCCGGTCAAGAAAGACCAGCTGCTGCGGCCGCCACAGGACAAAGGTGGTCACTGCAACTGCAAAGCCACTTCCCAGTGCCCAGGCAGAGTTCTTGTCGTTGAGCCAAGTAATGCGACTAAAGCCTGGCAGGAGGCCACAGCTGAAAAGAATAACCATTACCAAGGCAGCTAAAGAACCCAGCAAAACTGCTGGTTGCCCCTTGTAGTGCATCATGATTGATAAGACCTTTGGCCAGCGCCCCCCGTGCCAGGAATGAGACCAAAAGCAAGAGATCTTTTCACTCACAAAGCTCTCTCTCTATACAGGTCGCTGTCGTCGTCTGTGAGTGAGCGCAGTGCTTGCCCACAGCGCTGGAAGGCTTTGTGTGCACGAGTGACCCTCAAAGCTTCAGGCTTCAAAATCTCCATTCGCGCCACATAGGCAGCCACCTAGAACAACTAAGCTCTTCACATGAGTAACGCCCCATTGTGAACAATTGATTCATCATGATTCATCAAACTTCCCAAGCCTTGATTCATGATTGATCCAAATCGGCTTTGATTCATCAAGAGTCTACAAACATATTCCGTTCCCCTTCCCCTTCCGCGTTTGCTTCACTCTTTTTCTGCACCGGTCCTTGGTTCCCGCCTTCGTCTGCACCTCTTCCAGACCGAGATCCTCTCTGCTCTCGACCGGTTGCCCCAGGGTGACTGGTGCCATGGGCGGACGCGACGGACACACGACGGTGAACGGCGGATGGTCTTTCGCAGGTTTGTACTGCATTGGTTTGGCAGGTTCTGCTGCTGAAGGTTTGATTGGCAGAATGCTTTGCCGCTGCTTGAAGACAAAGAATTCTGCAAGTCGACTTGTGTCATTTTGAGTTTCAATGGCAAACTTGGATCCAACGCCTTTTCTGAAATCATCTTGGAATAAAACGACATCACTTCTATATATAGCATCGTGCCGGGTAAAAGCTAGACTCCTGTTGCTTGAGCGATCGAATGTCCAATTTGGACCTGGCCAGATTCAGCTGTGCTGAAACAATCCACCTCGAACACCATCATGGAAAGTGGAAAATGTTTTTTTCTCTATGCAAAAGGTGTTCCACTTCCATGTGAGTCATTCGGAGTGTCCTCTTGAGATCCATATAGCGTTGAGGGCTCCAATGCTTTGAACACGAGGTCGGTCTCGATCTTGACGCAGGAAGTACTACCATGAAAGAGTTCTCCCCATGATATTGTTGCTCGCCAAAACTCACATGGACCCTGGCTTTGGCACCCTGAATGATTGTTTTCCTCTAGCTGCACCAGTGGTTTTTGAATGTTCATCTTCGGGCGCGGTTTGGATCTTTTCTTTGGAAACCGCAACTCCAGTTCACCCGACCACTGAAGATTGAAGACCGTTCTTACAGGCGCCACACCATCTTTCGTCTGTGTTCTAAGATTGTTTTTGAGGTCTACCCTGATGAGGTCTACCCTGAATATGCAAAACAAACATGTGACGAAAAAAATCCATGTATTATGTATAGCTACACTACCAAAAATCACGCACGCGCATGTGCCACGTCTGTGCCAGTCCTGGCACAGTCCAAGGGGTACTGAAAGCATTTTTCAGGACTCCTGGGATGGACTTACCAAAAGCATAAGGAAGCGAACGGAACATCGAACCTGGTTGAGTTCCAGGCGTCCTTGCGCATGTTAGTTCTGTCTTTGTACTCCAAGGGTCCCAGAATAGTGTCCACTATTCTTTGAGTCTGGTGAAGCAATCGAAGCAATCGAAGCTACCAAAGCATCCCAAATAGGCTGAAGGTGGGCCAAAGTATGTCAGTCAACTTCCAGTGAGCTGGCTCGCCTTTGACTCAGTTAAAAAATATAAAAAACTTGGTTATGGCTGTGTACTGGGTTGGCTGACAGTGTGTGTCAATATCTAGTGGGGATTGTGTAAATTGTGAAATTCTCAACTCAACTGTATTTCAGGGGTTGTCAAATCCCAATTTTTCCGTATATTATATATATAACTATAGGGATCTATCTACACCGTGTACACCGTGTTTTCTCACTGAAGTTCATGCTGACGTGGCTCAGCTGGTTTTGGATGTCTTTGGTCTTCGCCTCATCTGCCAAGACTTCAGAGTTGAAGTCACTGAGCACTGCTGCCACCTTCTCCATGTCGCAGCTAGTTGCCATGGCCAACGGAGAAAAATTAGGGAGGGTCGAACAAGAGGAGTATGAAGCTGAGCCAACGCTGGTCAAAAGTCGTGCGAAAAAAGGGATCGGCCAAAACATAGAAACACGTCATGGTGAAAAGTCAAAAAGCATCTCAGTGCTTGACTTATCTGTTCCATTCTGTTCCCATGTCTTGGGGATGAACCCTACGGGTCGCCTTTCACAACTCCGGCCTCGTGTAGGAAGGGCGCCATGCGCGTGAGCAAGCGCACAGTCGTAAGAGCAGCCTGTCGTACGGCAGGGTGGTCGGTTGAAGGAACACCGGAACACCCATATCATTGCATCCAGTCTATACATGTCTTTAGCGAGATGGCCCCTGCCTTTAGTCAAGGACAGGATTTACAGGAAGTGATGTCCGGTGATTTGGCATCAGCGCTACTTACTGTGATGCGTCACCTACATGTCTCACACGCCACACCATAGCTGAGCAAATGCAGCATGCAGTGCCAGTGGTGTCCTTCGCAGTCCTTCGCCCCTTCGCCGCTCGATTTCACTTCTGAGGGCCCCCGTCCGTGCTCATGCTCTGCTGAGAAGGCAGCTGACCCTGGCGGAAAAGGAAGATACTCAGTGCTTCAGTCACTGGCAAGGTATGTTCTTTTCAGCACATTCATATGCTTCTATCTATAATATCGTAGTCTATATAGCCATTTCTATATCCGCTGCAACTCTAAACCCCCACACACCGCCATGGGCTCCCCTTCCCCACCGCCCAGGGGTATGTGGCGTCGTCGCTCATCTTTTCGCCCGCCCAGCGGGAGTGGTCGGTCGTGCGAGTGTGGTTCGACGGAACTCGCTTGTGGGAGCTCGTCCGGATCCTGGCAGGTCCGCTCGATACCATTCCAGTCGATCACCTGGACATAGTGAAAATGATAAGTGGGGGTTGGGAAGTTGGGAACTCCATGAAGGAAAAGGATAGGGGTGTGGAGATCCATCAATAGCGTGGGTATTTCAGAGCCGTTCACGGAAGATGCTGGTGGGAATTGGTCGTTTTGCCGGGCTGCCCAAATGGAGAAACTACTGAGCACCACACATTTGCAGTGGAATCATGATGAAACATGTATTGGACAAGATGGACAAGGTGTTCGATCAGGAATTGAGGACAGCCAGCGGGGAGTTGAGGCATGGTCAATGAGCAATCCGTCTGATTTTGACCATCTCTCGAAAAGGAAACTGGGGCTCAATGAAGCTTTTTGGTTGCTTCTTCTCTGGAACCACGGGTTTACTATCTAAATGCTATATATAAACAAACTTGTCTACTGGTCTACTAGCAAATGTGCACTATCATGCCTTGAGTCTAGAGAATGCTAGACGAAAAAACGGAAAACAAAAAATACGCTATCAGAGTCGAGAGGTGCTCCTCCTCCACGAAAGAACTCCCACCCCCAAGAGAGAGCCGTGCCGGCGTGCTTTTCCGCACCGGGAGCGACCCGACCCTCGATCCGCTGGGTGCAGCGCATGGTGTTGGGCCAATGAACCTAAACCCACAGCCCACAGCCCTGTCTCAGCTGAGGAGCAAATCCCACAGCCACTTCGAGGTCAATCTTGGTACCACAGTGCTCGGGCCACAATTCAGCTCCAAGAGGCATCTTAGATGAACACTCGGCCCCACAACAAGCTCGGTTCATTCAGAATAATGACCAGTTTGTCTTCCACCGTTGCTGTTGCTGCAAGCAGCCCCAAGCATCAGAATTGACTTTACACAATTTCATGATGGGGCCTGAGAAATAGGTGGGTCAAAAGTCAAAACCATGAGAAAAGTTGTTCATGTGTCATGCAATTCAAGTTTCAGTGGTGCAAACCGTTGCTGGTGTTAATTATTGTAATTACATGTAATTACCATGTACTGGATGCAAGGGCAGCTTGCTGATTCTTGCATGTGAGACACATCTGGTGATGCCACTCAAACCTAAAAGAACAGCAGCACCACTGTCACTATTTTAGAGACGGGCCAGGATTGTACTTGATCTTATTTGGCTTGGCTGGCTGGGCTTTGGCTGCTTTAGTGTTTGGTTTGGCTTATCTCAAATGGATTCAAATGGTCATATGATGCTGTCCAGCGCTCTTCTTGACTGCTCAGGTTCTTCCCTGAAAGGATATATACATTGATGTAATTGGTCAATACAGGCTCACGAACACCATTCAACACATCCCGGGAGTAACGATTCGGACGCTCCGAGTGACAAATCACCCTGGAAGTGGGAAGGAAAACCACCCTGGACCGTGTGAGGTAAATTCACAACAAGGTCATTCTCTCGGGGCCATACCACGTACCCATGTGATGTGTTCGTCGGATGTTTTTGTGACCAAAGACCCCAAGCATCACCATGTTAGATCGCTTCCGGAGAACTTGCTGAACCCTCGAGCTATGCGCCCACCATGAGCTCGTGCTCAGGGAGTTTGGCCCAGCTGCTTGGGAGATCCAAGCTCTTGATCCACTGCCAGAAAGTAATAACCTGAGATGCTGTTTCAAGATCGGTCAAACCAGGACCGACCTTCTTGAAACACCCAAAATGGATGAAAACATCATTGCTGAACTATGCTGAGCTGGTTTTCTTGCACGGGAAGTTCACCGAAGTGTTGGACGAAATGGCAAAGACATGCAAGGACTGAGGAAGGTCAGACTACTGTTGAGCATGGCTAACTGTCCAAAACTGCTGCGCCAAAGAAATATGGACTGGTTTATCATGTTTATCAGCCCCAAACCCGGTAGAGGCAAGTTAGAGAGTACGAATGAGTACAGGACACAGGTTAGCTCTGCCCCGTTCGCGTTGTTCCAACCGGTTGCATCCGTTCCGAGAAATCCAATCCATTCATTCAGCCAGTCGACATGTTCGTACATCTCGTTGACCGGATTGAACACTGAGAAGGATTTTCCAACTTGCTAAGTTCAATGGTAACAATCCTATATATCAACATGATTCACATGATCTACAACTTGAGTTCAATCCCATCAAAAAGGCTCTCTGCTTTTCAACATAGATTTCAACAATCCTTCTTGAGCCGTCCGGTATGGCGACCCGTTCCAAAGTGACCAAGGCAAACCTGCACAAGGATGGGGGGCGGTGGAGGTTCCTTCAGTATCCTTCAGTCTGGTGTTCAAATTGACGACACTTGCGGGGTCCACCAAGGTCTGCTATGCCATGATCCACCAATGATGTCCTTTCATATCCCAATTGGTTGTACACTTCGAGTACGGCCTCTGTTCAAAAGTAAACAGCCAAGTCAACGGGCCATGTGACCAGTAGTCAAAGGCCAATCACTTCAGAAGGCCAATCACTTCAACCCGAAGGCCCTTCACCCACAGCCGGGCTCTTGTGCCAAGGACACCCAGTGGCCAGTTTTCTAGCCAGTTCTCGGAGGCCACCGACCAGGCAAGCACGTGATGTCGACCGAGGCTGGTCATCCATTTCTCCAAATAGTCCTAGGTGCCCCCACCGCCCGGCCCCCCCACCGCCCGGCGCCGTTTGGAGGCCTGCAGCTTAGTTAAAAAAACATAGCAGTAGTGACAAAACAACCACATGCAATCATGCAAGGTGTTTTTTTTGGGGGGGAGATGGGGTGCAGGGCCACTAGACGCCCAGAAAGGACCCTGAATCTGAATCCCTAAAATTTGTTGGTTCGTGTGAACTGTGTAGGTGTGATTGTTGGCGGCCAATGGATGCCTATCACTGCAAAGCATGGCACTGTAGGAATGTCCCCAGTGTCCATCATTAATCACTGAAACGTTTACTAAGATGAACTGCAAGGCTTTGGAGCTTATCAAACAAGTGGAAGGCAATGGAAGGCTCTTGTAGATCTTAGGAAGCACCCCTCCACAACACGCTGTGCCGAGTGCACAAGTAAACTACTGTGCAAAATGAATCAACATGATGCTCTCTCTGCAAAAATACGTTAGATGATCGGAGCTTCCGGGGAAACTTTGTACATGAGTGTGTGTGTGAAGTGTACCTCATCCAAGGTTCATCAACCCTTGTACCCAGTCCTTCCCCGCCATGACGCAGCCCAAGGCTCAAGGTTGTTGATATAATCAAATGACTGCCAGAACGTCAGCAATATCACACCAAAGTCCTCTGACAAAACACACTAAACCCCAGCCAAGTTTTCATACCATGCCCCAATATGCCCAATACCACATGAACTCGCCCAAGAAAACCACAGCCTATGGTAACCCAAATAGAAAAAAATATAAAAGCACATTCAATTAAGCGAGGACTTGTATTGTAACTTATTATATATATATATATATCTGACGTCAGATATGTAATCCTAAAGGTAATGGTCGCATTTCCCTGGCTTGTTAAAATGACATTGATATTGGTGCTTGTCTGGATCTCGTTTTCCAAGTGTTTCTGCCTTTTGACATTGTTTGGATGCATACATCAGCATAGTACCTAGGTTTTATAGCTTACCCCTACCTCGTTCAGCTGGGCCACGACGTTTCGGAACAAATACGGCCAGACCCATTTGTTCGGTCGCTCCTCAATGAAAGGTCTCAGCCTGGCACGCGATTGGCCATCTGCCTCCGTGAAGCTATAGAAGCCGAAGAAGGCCGAGTGGCGCTTGGCAGCTCTGCGCAAGCGCAGGGGAAAACCAGATTTGGAGGATTCCAGAAAGATCTGAGCCTGAGTGATCAGATGTGTTCTGTGGAGTGCATCCTTTCTTTCGGAATCCAACGTAGCAAATGCTTTGTTCTGCCTTGTTTCTGTGCTTGCATGCTTGTTCTGTGCTTGCATAGTCTGTGCTTGCATGCTTGTTCTGCCTGTGTTTCTTGCAAATGGAGACACGGGGAGGTGGTCGTTGAGGTTGTAAAGCAGCAAATGAAATTTCTGACCAACGAGGTTGTTCGTCTGTGCTTCATGGACGTAGTTGTTGTGGTGGTGGCGGCCGTCGTCGTCGTGGTAAGTAGCTTCTTGCTCCATTCGTAGCAAGGCCAGGGGCCCCTAGTAGCGTCCTTGCTCCTAGTAGTAGAAACATCTTCGAGGAAAGCGATAAATGGTAGTGGCGATGGTCGCACATCAATAGCTGATTGAAAGAAAGGGCATAACACGACACCACACCACCCAGCACTCATCATACCCGACACTGCGGCCCAAGACTCCTGGGAGGATCTGGGCATTTTCCCCAGCTTAGCACCCAGCATGGCAGGGATCCCAGCACGACGTAACCAAAAGCGCTGCATGAGCAACATGGCCGGCAAGTCGTAGATGAAGTACGATCCATGAAAACCTGGTCCGCAGGTTTTCAGTTCTTCAGGTCTTGAGTCTTGAGGAGTTGAGGATTGGACCCGACTGCTGGATGAACGGTTTTTTTGGATGTGATAATCCCTCATCATTCAGAAGATAAACAGGGCCCGTCTGAGGCCTAAGGGATTTGAGCGGGGAGGTAGAGGAGAGAAAGAAACTTGTCAACTCGACTCGCGCTGATGGGCACATTTGATGGGCAATTCATGGTGTTTGTGTCAAGATGCAATATGCCGTGTATTAGAAGCCTGAAACATGCAGGACAATCCACAGGCGCCACCAAATCCGCCTGTTCCTTCTTCACACACTGTACCATCACTCTTTTCCAACAAGTACCAATGCCACGTCTTTCCGATACCATGGTGTCACACACGTTCTGCACGGTTCTGCCTAGGTCGAAAAAGAGCGCGGCCATCTCACCAGAGCCTCCACCAAACCTGTTTGAGAGACTTGGAATTGTGAGGGCTGGAGAGGTTTTTTGGAGGACTGGAACCAACGAAAAAATAAGATCAGAGGGGCTTGCAAAAATGACTCTCACTTTTTTTTGACTCTCAGTTTTCTTGTTTCTGATGCTAATGATTTTGATTCTGATACTAAAGAAGAGGGGGAGGAAGAAGATGACGCGTGTTATTTTGCTTTTGATGCTAAGTTTGATTTTGATACAGAAGAAGAGGGGGAGGAAGAAGATGACGCTAATGATTTTGATTCTGATACTAAAGAAGAGGGGGAGGAAGAAGATGACGCATATTATTTTGCTTTTGATACTAAAGAAGAGGGGGAGGAAGAAGATGACGCTAATGATTTTGATTTTGACAGAAGAAGAGGGGGAGGAAGAAGATGACGCTAATGGTTTTGAGTTTGATCCTAAAGAAGAGGGGGAGGAAGAAGATGAAGATGCTCTCAGTTTTCTTATTCACCTTTGATTTGGATGCTAAAGCAGAGGGGGAGGAAGAAGAAGAAAATGCTGTCAGAATATTGGATGCTAAAGCAAAGGGGGAGGAAGAAGAACTTGTCATGGGCCGGCCGTTCGATGAACAAACGTGCAGCCACCTACCATCGGGGGTTGGGGTGCGTTCTGGGTGGTTTTGAACTTTTGGTTGACTTGTTCAATTTATCATGGGCCATTCGATGAACAAACGTTCTGCACGATCATCATAACTTACCATGAGGCATTGGGGTGCGTTCTGGGTGGTGGGTGGTTGGTGGACCTGGGGTGGTGGGTGGTTGGTGGACCTCTACATCGACCTGGGTTTCTCCAACGTGCACCTGGCATGATTTGTCACTCAGTCAGATTCAGTCAGATCAGTCAGTATCAGCTGCAACTTCATGTTCATAGTCAGTTTCAAGATTAGCTATCGAACTCATGCCAGTTGTAAAAATGTCAATTTACTATTCTGCCTATCTTTTGGCCGGAAGGAGGACATAATTGTGGATCATCAAGGAAACAACTGATAGCTAAGCATGAATGAATGGTTGATGCCAAAGAGTAACATAATTCATCAAAACAGAAGAGTACAGGCAAAGGCAACACAGGGAACACAAACAAAAAGCAAAGACTCCATAGATACATTGATTGAATCATTGAACCATTCGCTGATATTCGCGGGCAATGTCGGGATCGGTAGCACAGGGAGCGCAGGGAGCATCAGGAGCATGGGGATCAGGATATGCAACGCCACCTCCACCTATTGCTCCTTGCCAGATGACAGTGGTGCAGTATTTCCACCTTTGTCACTGTGTAGTAGTAGTCACATGTTCTATTGACTCCTTCAATGACTTAGTAGACTGTGATCGCCACTGTTGAGAACGTGTTGAACATCCTGTTTCGAGGGTTTCCTTGTCACTCGTGGCTTGCTCGTCCGTGCAGCAGCTGGATTGTTGGCTCTGTTTCCATTTGAGCCACCTGAGGTATATGTTCAACTCCAAATCCAAAGCTTGCACGCTGAAACTTTCTTTGCTTTGAGAGAGTCTTGGCTGCAAGTTTTCAATTTAAAAATGTTCAATAAGTAAGAACTTGAGATTTGAATTGACAATTCATGTGTTTGACGTGTTTGACCATCTGAATTATAATCTTTGGACTCAGGATGTCAACGAGTTTATCGGGCTCCTTGAGGAAGTGCTTGACGACCCAAATCAGAGGAGACCTGTACTACTGCGCTTGGAGTTGTTCAGGACCAGTCTGGAGGAAATCCTGCAGTACACAAGGTCGCTTTGCAGGTTCTTTGCTGTTGACTGTGACCCAGAGTAGGCGGCAGGATGTTTTTTTGTCACTGGACTTCACTTCACCAAGAGGCAACCACTGTTTGAACGACTATTTCAAGTCCCATCAAGCCCGTGTGTGGTCCTTTGGTCAAGTGATGAATGGTTCACACAGTTGAACTCACAATGATAAAGTCGATTGTGAGTATCAATTTTTGAACGGAGCTCAGCGAATGATAGCTGCTCACGTGAGGTTGAGATCTTTGAAGGATTCACAGTAATTGTCAATCGCTGGTGATTGACTCATCCTCACCGAAATGGTCCACTGAAATGAGTCCCTAATTAACCTTTTCAGGCAGAGTCCTGACCCATTGAAGTGGGCGCCCTGTGAGAAGTTTCGCTGTTTCTGAATCACATTCACATTCACATTCACATTCACATTCAATCACTCATTCAATAGTTTCACATTCTTAACGTTCACATGCTCACATGTCTTTCTATCTCACATCGTTGCTAAATCTGCTGTGCAACTCCCATGTCGTCCCATGCCACTGTGTCACTAGAAGGCGGTCCACCATTCTGTCATGACTGACATTGGACATGAACAAATAAACTGACATTTCAAGTCAACCGAGCCAGGTCCTCAACATACCTTCGACTTGCTGCACCTGTGCTGGAAGGCAAGGATGTGTCGTCGTGTTCTGTCATTTGTTGATCGCGCGTGTATACCTTTAAGGTTTTAACTTTTGGGCTGCGGGTGGATTCACTCACCGATTCTGATTCTGATCCATGGTTTCCGAGTATTTTTTATATCGTGACTGTTTCTTGAATTTGATGTCATGACAGGAGTTTGATTCATTTAATGTTTCCTGGTTTTTGCCAACCACCGATCCATGGCCCTTTGTGGATCAAATGAAGGCGGCCTTCATACCCTCAGAGGGAGCACATCAAGCAGTTGCCACACTCAACTTGTTACCACACTCAACTAGTAACTAGCCTTCAAACTGACCTTCAACTTGCCGCACTCACAGTCAGATCAGATAAAATGTCATTTGCAGATCGAATCACAGTCAGATCAGATTCAGTCTTCAGCCGATGAGAAGATTCAATTTCAAGCTTTTCAACCCTCAGCTTCAAGTCAGATTCAAGTCATCAGATTCAATCACTGATTCAATTTTTCTGCCTGCATGCCCTCCAACTCCATAGCGGTGGCACAGCTGCCGGAGAAGTACTTGAAGATCGCCTTGCAGCTGGATCGCGCTGGCCAGCAGACTTTGTTTCTGCTGTACCTTTGCTGCAAGTGGACACATGATGACACATGAGTGGCCAACTGAGATCATTCATTGGCCAACTGCCATGGATTCCGCATTGCAAACATTTCAAGGTGGAAGCTGGATCCTGCTCTGTCCGAGCAGGCGTAGCTTGGAACAACTTTTGCTAACCCATGCATTGCAACTGCAAGCTTGTGTCATTGCTTTGTTTGCTTGTGTCATAGTTGCGCACGAGTTGTGGTGTAGTGGAACTGGATCTGAGGATTGGTGAATTGGAGAGCGGCCGCGTGTACAACTATGGCGGGTGCTTGCACTGGAAATACGTGGAGCGTGCCTCGCTGGCCACGAAAGGTCGCCATTCTCGCTTGGCCCATCAAAGGGATGAGGACGAGAGCTGCTTGGTTCACATTAAGATTTCAGACGCATGCCCATGGTATCATCATTCTGATCAGGTTGCGTTTTCATGCCACGGGCTTGCAGCTCTTACCGTGTCTTCTAAGGCCCAGGCCCACCTTCCAAACGGCAGCGTCGTTGACCGTCCTCAAGACATCATCTTTGAAGTGGCGGACCACATTTCAGTTCAGTGCCACAATTTGTGTTGGATGCTGGAGTGTCTTGCTTGCACTTATTGATGTTCAATTGACCTTGACTTACTTGCTTGTGCATTTTCTTGTCATTTGTTGGTTGTTGACTGGTTGTTGACTGACACATACTTACATGGCTATTCCTGCTGAGAACCCACATGCCCAGGAGCGAGGAGCATGACCGCGCCGCCATTGATCGATCCATCTTGAAGCACTGCGGCTTGGTGGCCAGGGTGCGGGAAAGCGATGCTTGGCTGCATTTTGTTTGATAGTCTTGGAGTGCGTGTTCGGTGTCTTGAACCATTGATTCACATGTTTTGCGGGGTCTTGAACCATTGATCATGTTTTAGCATCTTAGGTGCTCCGGAATCCCAACACAACTCGCGTTATGTGGCGGCTGTTTAGCTCTCCTGCCATCTTGGTCTTGATCAACTGCTCGGCTGGGTATCACAGAGCCACCACGGTCACCGCGATCATGTATGCCTGGTTGATGGTCTTTTGGCGACAATAGTTTTGTGATTTAATTTTGCTTGCACGCTTCTTGCTTGGGTTATGCCATGTTACGCCATGAGTTCACGAGCGATCGCTGAGGACCAGGGCGTGGAGGTGGTGGCTGCGATCATGTCCTTATCAGGCAATTGGCCCGCGGACTTGACTGCGGTTTGGGGCTTCATCCATGGCCAGCTTGGCAGGTATCTTGGCAACCAATGAATGAATGAAACGTTTTGTGAAGCAATTGTCAAGTGTTCATGTCAACATTCATTCAGGCCATCTGCATTCACTGATTTTTTGAGGATGCCAGCCATGAGGGGCATCGCCCAGAACTGCGGCCAGCATATGTGGGGGCTGCAAGATTTTGACAATCGGACTCGGCAAGCCCTCCGAGCATTCCAGGCGATTCATCCACCAGCCGTGAATTGGAAGCTTGGATTATTTAGTGCCTATGGCAGGTGGCAGCATGAGTCGCTTTCTTGGGGGGCGGTAGAGGGTCCATGCAGGG